CTAATCAAAGGTATCAATCAATACACTTTGGTAAAACTCCTTAAGTATTAAAGCGATACTTAAAACAAAACATAAAACAAAACCAAGTATTAAATGATACTTAAAACTAACCAAGTATCAAAGCGATACTTAAAACAAAACATAAAACAAAACCAAGTATCAAAGCGATACTTAAAACAAAACATAAAACAAAACCAATAACCAAGTACCCGTACCGGTTACAGAAGCCGGCACCGAATTGGAAAGAAATATGATGGTAGGAGGAGAAAGGGGAACCTAACCCTGTGATAGAAGCTATGCTCAAAGATTTCTATGAAAGCTGAGACGGTTATAAAGTAACTACTATGATGGCCGGGGCCATAGATGATTTCCTGGACAACTTTAATAGGTTGATCCATATTGTCAAGGAGTTAGCACCTATGAAGAGGCCCATGAGGTGGTCGAAGGCATGGTTGACGCCGGAGATTATGGAGTTGAGAAGAGTTTATACTACTGCTGCCAGACGTGTGCGATGGGATGGAGCGGGAGTGGAAGAAAGGAACAAGGCCAGGAAAGAATACTGGAAGGCATTGGTCAAAATGAAGCATGATCACTGGGTTCAATTCTTGTCTATGGCAAAGAAGAATGATGTGTGGACAGCACACCAGTTTATGAAAGAACGAGTTCCAAACAGGGTACCCGGTAGTCCAAGTAGCACACCTGAACGGGCAGAACTCTTGATAATGAATCACTTCTTTCCAGAAAATGTTGAGCCAGTTGTGATGAAACAACCAATGGTACATGGGCTGGGTAACCTATATCCCATGACCCCATTCGACATTACCGATGTCCTCGAGAAATGTAGTAGCAACTCAGCCCCCAGTCCGGACCAAGTACCATATAGGGTGTGGAAAGGAATACACGGCGTACACCAGGAGATAATTCTGGCCATGGTATAACACCTGCTGGAATGGGGGATTCACCTGCCCATGCTTAAGGAGTCGACCGGTGTGATTTTACCGAATCCAAATAAGGATAACTATAACAACTGCGCCAACTTCAGGGTCATCGCCCTGATGCAGACCTTTTCGAAGATAGCAGAGAGGGTAGTCAATAGTAGGCTAATAGACATCGCTTATAAAACAGGATTGTACTACATCAATCAAACAGGTAGTCTGCTACAGAGATCTACAGTCGACGCGGTGCTTGCCCTACAATATTGGACGAGAGAAGCGCAATTTGCAGGAAAGAAGATCTCCTCGATCTTCCTGGACGTGAAGGGCGGTTTTGATAACATGAATTACCAAAAGTTAATAGACAGGTTAGCTGAGAACCTATCAGTCCCAGGCTATTTGACTGACTGGATCAGAAATTTCATTGCCATGAGAAATATAAGATTAGCCTACCCAGAAAGCCCAAGACGTACCCATGAAGTGAACAAAGGAATTCTGCAAGGCTCTCCGCTATCCCCGCTCCTGTTCGTCATCTATGTGAAACCTCTTCACTTGTCGGATGACCCCACAGAGACCTTCACTACATCGTATGTTGATGACTTCCTGATAACAGTAGCTTCAACTTCCTGGGAACGGAATACGTGACTACTAGAGGCCAAGGTCCAGCAGGTCAACCAACGGGCTCACAGCTTGGGGTTGTCCTTCAGTATAGCGAAAACAGAACTTATGCACTGGTGGAAGAGGAGGTAGAAAGGTCCCAGATCTATGGCTGTGGTTACGGTAAATTCCCATCAGGTTGAGCCGGCCAATGGAACCTTGCAGTGGCTGGGTCTTTGGTTGACAGACAATGTGGAAATGAGCATGCACTTTACCAAGAGGTTATTCCTAACCCAGGGAGCCTTTTGGAGAATACAGAGACTGTCGGGACCGGGCATGGGGTTGTCTCCATATGGGGCCTAAAGGCTGGTGAAAGGAATTCTGTTACCCACGCTCCTGTACGGGGCGGAGGTGCTGACACCCTCAAAGACAATGATGGGGAAGATGTAAACCTTTTGGAATCGCATCCTCCGTTGGACTACAAACGTTTTCTACGCTACCAATATAACGGTGCTGTCGGCAGTAGCCTGCCTGGCCCCAATTTCGTTGTACGTAGAACAAGTAAAGAAGATGACAGCGGTTCGAATTGTCTCCGCTATTCTAGAGAATAACATCGCTACGGTAATGCTTCCATTGTCATTCCCGATGGCTAGGAATTTTAGGTTCCCTACCAACAGGAGGTTAGCATTTGATAATAATAAGGGGGGGATGAGACCAAAGATATGGGGTTCAATCGCCACGACCACCCCACAGGTACGACTTCCGATTGACGAGGTAGCTGCCGTAGTATCAATGGTGCTAGAGGATGGCGCCACACCAATGCGACCTTTAAGACTCCTTTTGGTTACTCCTACCCAGGCCGAGGTTCACTTCGAAGCCAGGGAGAGAGTTAGGAACGAGACACATAAAAAGTGGGTAGAATGGCAATTCCCACCCTACTACAAGTATAGGCCTCCGTTTAGGGAATGCTGGTATTTTATGACCCTCCTTAAGTTTATGGCTTCCAGACTTCATCAAATGCAGGCGAACAAAAGTTACCTTGCAGCTCAAACAGACTGGTCTAATCAGGGCCGAGACACAACCTGTAGGTGGTGCCTTGAATACCTGGAGACTTTTGACCATGTTGTGCAATGCTCAGCTCTTGCCGAGTCAAGAAGAAACATCCCCTCCAAGTCTTTGATGTGGGTCTGGAGTCAGAGCTGTGGAAGGGGGGTAAGGTGGGCAAGAAACTGATGGGAGATTTTCTCTCTTATGTGATGGGAAATAGGATTAACTTTCCAGTGAAGATGGAGGTTTTTCCATTTACGAGGAATGCTGATTTGGCATCGTGATGATATGTAATGATTTTCATTTGTGATGGGACTTGTTTAGTGATTCTTTATCGTTTATTTGTTTTGTTTTGGGGGTGAATGAAGTTTCTTTTGTTATGTCAAGGAGGTTTTCAGGCCATACCTTAGGGTGCTTGCCATGGATTTTTCCTGTAGTTAGCTACAAATAAACCGCGGATTTAACAAAAAAAAAAAAAGTACTCGAGTAGACTACTCGAGTACCGGATCTCCTCTGGAGCTTGGATCATGCGGCGCTCGGGTTTGTCAGCGAGAGCCTGAAAATGCAAAAGTAATCCTTACCTCCATAGAGATTTTTTATGGGGTTATTTAGCAAGAATGTGTTGGTTTTAAAGCTCATAGACACACACCTAAGCGCAGTACTCTTTACTGTGCTGTACCAGTAGTCTACGACGAACAAGATGGATACAATACGGTTATTGCAGGACCGTATTACCGTAGTGACCTGTGCAATGCCATATTATTATACTTGTACTAGTACAAGTACAGCTGCGAAACATAATATGTGGGAAGGGGGGGGGCATTCAGTGGTCGGGTAGTGCTCGAGCACCGGTACCGGTGTAATACTCCGCTCCCCTCACTTTTCAATGTCTGTTCTTTTCTTACTTTCTTCCCGCAGCCGCCTTCTGAATTGACCGACCGACATCCCCGCAACTTGAGATCTTGCTGGGCGTAAAGGGAAGAAGAGCGGGGGGGGGGGGTTGGAGATTCCTGGTTCATTTTGCGTGCTTGAATCAGGCACGAGCCGGCCAATCCCTTGCCTTTTAGATGATTCCTTTGGATGGATGTACTCGAGTACTAGTACGAGTACCGGTACTGTACGAGTACTGTGCTCGTACGAAACCAGAAATGAAATATGCAAAGCGCATTCAAGTGTCGGGAAGTCATGCAAATTGATAATGAGATGCAAATCGATATGGTATCAAGCATTACCCGATTAAGCTTAATGCTCTACAGTGTAAGATCTTTAATGTAAATGCTTCCTGTGCTTGAGTTGAGCGTCCAATTTTGTCTGGGAGTGGAAAGGAAAAAAAAGGGGGGGCTTAACTGTACCAGATGCCATTTAGGAAATAGCGCCGGCTGCAATACTGGGGCGTACAACGGTACGAAGGGAGAAGTTGGATCTAGAGAATTCTTCTCCACCAATACCGGTACAATACTCGTCCAGTATTGTAGCAATGCCCTGCACTAGTTATTTACTTACCGCATCTCCCCGCTTGAAAGCTGGGAGAGTCTGATGTCCGGCTTTGGCAAATCCCTCCCCCAGCTGAATTCTGATCACCAGTGCCATGTCATAATTATCATTTTCGTATGTTGGGGGTGTTAGTAATGATGGGTTAGAAGGAACTCTTTATTTGTTGCGTCAATCAGGGGTTGAAGCTATCGTACCCGGTACTTGTATCGTACTTGTACTCGAGTATGATACTCGAGTATAATATGAAATTACCAACCCAGGGACCTTGTCCACTAACCAGCAATTCCTCACTCACTCTCTGTCCATGATGTCTCCGATCTGGCTCGTGGAACTGGTTCCGCTGCCCTACCCTCTTGCTTCTTTTGTTTACGCGCACTTTTTTTCTTTTTCCTTTTATCTCCGTACCCTTCACTCCTTCGGCCGTGTGCCGTACTCATACAGTACCGATATCCCTTCTTTCTCTCTGCTTCTCTCATCGCATTTTTTTTCCCTTCCCCCTCCCTTTCTTTTCTTCCCATTGCCTCCATTCTCCACCTACTTTTAAATACCCAAGGGTCTACCGTGCAGCTCGTGGTTATGGTCCAAACTCGGTCACAGACTGGAAGGACTCCAAGGTACGTATGACACTGTAGATACAAACGCAATTCACTTGTTTGTTCCTTTCCTCCTTTCCACGTTTCTGTAACATTCCACCCCATCCCCGTCCACTATTCCCCCCCACTCTATCCAGGCTTGCTTCCCCCTTTGGCTTCTTCGATTGCAATTTTGACACCTCGTAGGAAACAGGGATATCCAGGTCTGGTTCCAACACCGGCTATTAGACGCTCACGTCCCAGTAGTGCTAAGCTGACACCGGAACCCGAATTCGAACCCCTTACGCCCACCCACACGCCGTCCTCGAGGCCCGAGAAATCTACTTTCAAGGTCGTGATGGAGGTCAGGTCGAGGAGGAAGCCCTACGGGGAGAATGGCTCAACCAGTGGACCCACTATTCCCAAGGGAGATGTAGGGAGCGATACCACCACGAAGGACAATCTCAGAATGGGCGATGATCACAGGGTCGACAACAGCTCTGAATTCGAGTTTGGAGGCGTCTGGGGTACTGGGCTTGCTATGGTCTTCTTCCCGCTGCTCATGTGGTACATGTGGGTTGGCCAGGTCTACTACAATTCTCAATTCCCGATGCCAGGGAAGGAAGAGGCAATTGGCAATTTTGTACGCAAGGTCGCTAAATTGGCTTATGAGGTATGGGAAGTTTGGTGTTATTTTTTATCTTCATGTGTGATTTCATTTTTTTTGTTGACGGGGTGGCGGATAGTGCTCATACCCTACCAAGAAGGCTTGGTTGGTCTATTGGGGCTTCTTGGCCTACCAGAGTTTGCTATACCTCACACTGCCCGGTGTCTGGGCCAAGGGAAACCCAATTCCTCACAGGAACAACGTTCGTCTCGATTACTACTGCAATGCTATATGGGCTTTCTATTTCACTACCGCCACTGCCATTGTTTTCCATGTGGCTCAAATCCTCCCAATCACCTTCTTGGTGGACGAGTTTGGCTCCTTTATGAGCGTTGGCATTCTCTCTGGGATCCTTGTCAGCTTCATCGGGTATTTCAGCGCAATATATCGGGGTGCTCAACATAGGATGACTGGGCGGTTTGTCTACGATTTCTTCATGGGCGCTGAGCTGAACCCCCGTATCTTTGGTTTAATGGACCTGAAGATGTTTCTTGAAATCAGACTTCCCTGGTTCATCCTATTCCTTGTGTCTTGCGCGGCTGCCGTTAAGCAGTACGAGACTTTGGGATATGTCACCCCCCAAGTTGCTTTCTTCGTTTTGGCTCATTGGCTGTACGCCAACGCCTGCAGCAAGGGAGAGGAGCTGGTTATCACCACTTGGGACATGTCGTACGAGAAGTGGGGTTATATGCTCATCTTCTGGAACATGGCTGGTGTTCCTCTGACCTACTGCCATGGTGTTCTTTACCTCGTCAAGCACAATCCTTCTGTCTACCAATGGTGCACTGGTGTCAACGTCTCCCTCTACATCTTCCTTCTTTGCGCGTATTATGTCTTCGACACATGTAATAGTCAGAAGAACAGATTCAGACAGATGGAAAAAGGAACGCTCGTTATCAGAAAGGCCTTCCCTCAATTACCCTGGCAGACCCTCAAGAACCCAAAGTTCATCAGGTGCAGGAATGGCGGTACTCTACTCACGAGTGGATGGTGTAAGTTTGCTCAACCGCAAGTGATGCGCATCCCGTAACAATAGTTAATCCAACCTTTTTTTCTGCAGACGGCCTCGCCAGGAAAGTTCACTACACGGCTGACTTCTGCCAACTGACTTCCTGGGGCTTGATCTGCGGTTTCTCCAGTCCCCTCCCATGGTTCCTGCCCGCCTTCTTCATGGCTATGATTCTTCACCGCGCCTGGAGAGACACCGATCGGTGCGCCAAGAAGTATGGCGCTGACTGGGAGGAGTATAAGAGACAAGTTCCATACCTGTTTATTCCTGTAAGCCATCACCGCCCTCCCCTCCCCTCCCCTCCCTCTACAGTGCTGATATTCCAAACTTAGTACGTTATTTAAACATCACTGGAACCTCACACTGGTGTTCTATTGCGTGTCAAAGAAAAAAAAAAGAAACCTATTAAACCTCATTCGTTTGCTTAAACTAACTTCGTCGTTGGCTTGCTGTGTCCTTAGGATAGATAATCAGAAAAGGAGACCATATTATTATTTTGAGTTTTTTCTTGTAAATAGTCTTGCTTCTATCCGTTTTATTTCCTCTGATGACTTATTTGGAACTGTTATGGCCATTCTTTTTGTTAGCGTACTTTGGGGATACGAGTTTCGGCTGCAGTAGCTGACTGGCTGGTTGACTATGTTTATGAGCTTGGGCTTTTATTTTTGTAATGTTTAAATTACTTGAGGGAAGTGATGGGGGTGCTGGAAAGGCGAAGTGTACGAGTAAGGTGATGTGTGGGGAAGAGGGGTGGGGGGCACACTATAATATAGTCTAATAATTTCAAGCATGCGTGCCTGCATAGATGGGAAAAAGTAAGTATCCGGTTATGGGTGTATAACCGATGCTTCCAGAGGCACAGTACTCGTCCTGTTGTGACGTTTGTGAAATGGACCGGGCTTGCATGGTGGCGCAAGGGAGTGTAGGGGGTGCATATCGGGATACAAGAGCCTCAGAATGATATTGAATATGGTAAATAGAAGAAAGGAAATAAATCACAAATACCACATCATATATTCAAACAACGTTAATAAACAAAATAAAATAAATATTAAAAAATCAAAAATTAAAATTATTTCCTCGATCATCAATACATGCTCTAATGCGTTCAGGCATAGAATCAATATGGTGATTGATTCGCTCCTGGGGATATTCTCTCCATACCTGAAATAAAATAATATAAGTAGTCTTCTAATTAATGTAAAATCAGGAATAAAAATTGAATGATAGTAACTTACCTGCTCTAGGATAACCCTAATCTGATGTGCGGTCATGCGGGTTCCAATCTGTTGGCGGATTTAATCTTTCATCACCATCCAAATCGTTTCAATTGGATTGAGGTCTGGGGAGTTTGCGGGCCAAACGATTTTAGAAAATCCAAGCTTCCGGCGAGGAATATTATGATAATGGTGGACATGTGCTGGAGCATTGTCCTCCATTATTATAATATTTCTGGCAGCAAACTCAGTAAGTACTTGTTGGGTAAATGAATATAACAAGGGACAAAGAATACATTCACAATAAATATACCAGTCGATACCGCCCCTCCGATCTGCCTTTCTCGTTTTCAATTCTGGGTCTGTAAATGGTATTTCCAGACCCATAGCAGCTGCCCTCGCATTTTCCACTAACTCATCTTCATACTCCTTTTTCAAGGCTATAAGAGAGTCCTTCAATTGCTTTGGAGTCTCATATGGAGTTGTATACATATGATATGGAAGTTCATTACCTGTATATTAACAATTAATATATTTACATACCGGATTTTCCATAAAAAATAGCCCACCAAAACATCACCATTGCTCCTTGAGTAAATTTCCTGTCTATATTTTGCGGTTGATATGCTTCTCTAGCACAATGTAAAACACCACGAGCACGGCAGGACCAGAGACTATCCGTTTCGAAGTAGGATTCATCTGTAAAGATAAGTTCTCACCAGTCAAGTCCCTGATGTTGATAACAGAAGGCAAGCCATCTAGCCTTCTGATCGGGACTAAGGATTGGTTTCCATACGGGTTTGCAGCAAAAGATTTTATTTTCATGAAGAGCTTTGGAAATTGTTTGTCTACTAACATCTAGTTCAGCTATTTTTTATTATTAATTACATGTACTAGTAGTTATATAATATGGTTGGGGATTTACTTGTAATGTCGTGATATTTGTAAACACAGTTACTATTGTATACCACCAAAATTAGGAGGCATGAGCTGATTGTTTGCTTGTAAGCAATAGCAATTATGTTCACAAATGTCAAGGCATTACGAGTACAATATATTTAAAGAGAAAAAATAAGAAAGGAGTTTCTACCTGCTTCCGCTAGCTGAGAAAAGGTCATCCGACAATGTTCTGCATCTTGAAGAGTTACCTCTACCAAATGCTGTTTGTCTACCGGGGTAAGTGCCTGATTAGCACCTTTGATGGAGTTTGGAAGCGGAGCAAGGTTTTCGTCAGCACAAAGATCAAGCATTTGGTTGTCGCTGGCCCTTTCTTGTGCTATTCGAATGATATTTGAACAAGTACTTATTAGTATCCGGTTTGTTCAGATATCTCCTTTAATGTCACCTTTTGACTTCCCTTGAGCATTGCATAGCCAACAATTTGTCCCCTCTTGGCCATTGAAGTTATTCACCCCCGTGGTGTTGACATTTTGCTGATTTTAATGAATCTTTCAGATATTGAAGTAAAGATAGAAAATTGCAATACCCTTCTCTCACGAAGAATCCCCTCTATTAATAATATTAAATCTAATCTATTTGGCCTATTCTCATTGGTCATTACTCTCTCCAGGTACCTCCTTGCACATTTATGCACCCCCTTGCACCACCATGCAAGCCCGGTCCATTTCACAAACGTCACGACAGGACGAGTACAAGTATTAACATACCTAATTTTGTGGAGATAGCCGTAACCCACACATTCCATCAGGTAACTCACATTCCCAATATGGTCCTTTGAAAATCGACGAGCGCCGGTACCGGCAGGCAATCGCAATAACAGATTATATGTTCTGTGGTTAATGAGTAATGGTGGTACAGCCGTGTCCAGAAAGACTTCGTGCCTCAGAATGGTGGATGGTAATACATCACACGGTAGTCTAGGGCTGGAGAAGAAATAAGATACAGTGATTTCTTACTTGTACTGCCTTGATGGTGGCGCACAGGGAGTCTGAACCTTGGTCCCCGCGACGCAAGTATTATTCCCTTCAGGTAGTCGACTACCGTATTAACATACTGTAGTTAATCAGCAGACTCCCAAACCAATCGACAAACTCACTCCTATTCGAGTAGTCTACCTGCACAGTACATACTGGTATCATAGTCGTTAAGCCACACCTCTACCCATTCAGCCAAAAGAAATTATAAACATCAAAGTTCGTGTGGCACATCAAAACAAATTTCTCGTACGCGAAAAGTATGACTTCAGCAAGCGGAAAAAAGAAAAAGGCGGAAAAAAGAGATAGCAGAAACCACTTCTGTTATGTTCTTAGCGAATGAAATTTCCGTAAGGCCAGATCAACTCATAGCAAAGGATACCAAGGAAAGGAAAGAAAGTGGGCGGCGGATGAGGGAACTCGCTTCTCACAATACACACTTGTCCAGCTCTCATAAAGATCTCGAGGGAAAGAGCGGGAAATTTTTTAAGCGGTCCAAGTATCGAAGTATCGGAAAACGAGAAATAGATTGGACCTAAAATGATTAATGAAAACCCTATGATAGGTTACGTAAACCCAGCAGCCCGCTTCTTCCCCGACTGCCCCATGCTTGATCCCGATCCTGAAGCGGTGCCGCTGCTTCTTGAGGTAGAACACTTTTTCTCCTCAGTCCTAACTGCCCATTCCTCCTCCTCTGTCGCAATAATCGAGTGGAAAACGTGCTGCTGGCCACGAGCAAAATATGCCGGCGGGCACTCCCTCTTTGAGACTGCTTCTGTAACGAGCACATACCTGATACTTGATCCCGGTGACTCGAACATGGCATCCGAGAGGATGCGCTCCATTACTGTTCGCAACCCGCGGGCGCCGGTGTTCATTGCAATGGCGGATTTGGCAATTTGGCGAAGAGCGGGGGAGGTGAAGCGGAGCTCAACGCCACTTAGGGCAAAGAGCTCAGTGTATTGCTTCAGGAGGGCATTTCGTGGCTCTGTGAGGACACGGACGAGCATATCTTCGTCGAGGGATTCTACGGCGGCGATTATGGGGATACGACCGACCTTTTTTATTGTTGTTAGCTGTCAATTTGGGCTATTGGTAGGGAAGTGAGGGTGACATGGAGATACAATTTCAGGGATGAGTCCAAAGGAAATCAAATCACTCGGCTCTGTAAGTTCTAACGGATTAAACTTCCTCCTTTTTATCCTCGCCTTCGTACCAGATTCATCGTCAGCTTCGTCCGCTTCTTCGACGCTACTAGAGAAAAACGGCGTAAGCTCTTTCATCAATTCATGGTCCTCCGCTAATTCGTCTGCCGTGCTCCCACGCACGTGTGCGTTAAAGCCGATAGAACCTTTAGCGACCCGATCAACGATGTGCTTTTGCATGCCTATGAAAGCCCCGGTAAAAATGAAGAGGATGTTGGAGGTATCGATCGTGAAGGTTTCCCCTCTCGTAACACCACCCCCGGCTGAGCCGGCGCCAAACGAGGAGTTGGAACCGTTTGGAGAATTAGGAAGGCCAGCAGGTGGACGGCGTTCTGGTTTGGTGTTGATTTGTAAGGTAGTACCTTCTATGATCTTGAGAAGAGCTTGCTGAACGCCCTGGAGTATTGATGATTAGAATATTTATAGCTGCATCTGGTCGGAGCTTAGAATATACCTCTCCAGATATGTCTTTACTGCCATAAGGGGATTTCGGTTTTGCTATCTTGTCAAACTCGTCTAAACAGACAATTCCACTTTCTGAGCCCTGGTTAGAACGCTAAGCTCTTAGAAATTGAATAAAATACTACTCACCAGCCCTTCGGATATCCCAATTAGCTGCTGCGAGTAATCTATGGATACAAACATCTGCGTCTTCTCCAACGTAACCCGCTTGTGTGAATGGTGTGCAATCAGACCTACAGCCATTAGTCCGGAATACTTAGGACACCCAGATAAGCTCCTACATTGAAAATGGGACCTCTAATACTCGTGCAAGCGTCCGCAGCATAAGTGTCTTCCCTACTCCCGTAGGTCCCAGGCAGAGCACGTTGCTCTTTTCAATGGTTAACGGAGAGAAATCGTAAATAGATGCGCGATCCCCTCTAGGCGGTACATGAACGGTTCTTGGTTGATGAGAGATCTCCTCTGTTAGGTTCTCGTTAAATGCTGTTTGGCTTAACCCCTTTTGAAATTCACAGACCCACCATCTAGCGATTGTGGTCCCATAGCCTGACTTGACCTAAACAACTCATCTTGCTCCTCCTGTCTTTGTTGTAACTGCTGAGTCCGCTTGTAGTGATGGTATATTGCTGTTGATAAAATTCTCTTAGGCCTATTCTGACCCACGACAAATCGGTCCAAGTGCTGCTTCAAAGCCCTGCAAAGGGGGGATAATATTAGCCCTAAAACTCGAGGAATTTCAGCAATGTAGGCTGCGGTGGTAGTAGCAGTGGTGGTGATGTACCGTGGTGTCAATTTATTAATGCCAGAGGAAGCGTCTCCCAATGGTCCGAATGTTGGCGTATCGGTATCTACCCTCGAACTAAATCCCGCACCCCCAAATTGAAAGTCGGAAGGATCGTAGGATGACATCCATCTCTGTGCTACAGCCAAAGACGACGGCCGGATACCTCGATACAGTAATGGGGGGCGCCCGAGAAGCATGCCGGGGTTAGACTTTGGAGAAATGGGATGAAACCACGAATGGGAAAGAGACGGGTATTCTGGAGCAAGAGTTGAAGTATAGAGGGGGGGTGTGATAGAAGGTAGAGTAAGCTGGTGGTGTTATGGGGTTTATCGCGCAGGTTCACCCAGACGTTCCGCGCTGTAACGAGCTCCGGCTGTTCGTGACTAAAGCGACTTACCCCACGTCACTGGAAAATAATAGTATACTCGAGTGCCGGTATCGGTAATAGCACAGATGTCGGGGCTGGTTGTGCATGCCCGTTCTCTAGTAGAAGTCCTGACATCTCCCAGATTTTATTCTGGGGGATTGCTGGTTCTACGCGCTGCGCAACCGAGTACCCGAGTAAAGCGGCGATCAGCACATGCGCTGTACCGGTACGAGTACTTGTGTGATCACGTTACTGGGCATTATGCTTAATTACTCGTAGACTAGAAAACAACACAATGCTGTACTAGTACTCGTCGTGTCGTGAAGTTGGTGAAATGGACCGGGCTTGCATGGAGGCGCATGGAGGTGCAAATAGCTCTACACCCAATCAGAATAGGACAAGGAAATTGAAATCGTATGTATCTTTAAAGGTCGAGAAGTATGTGAGCACTATGCTTGAGTGTATTGTGTTTGCTTTACACAAACATAAAGCACTAGAGCTCTGCTTGGTGAAAATATCAACTCCATGAGGTTGTGCGATAATAATGACTGAACAGGGCCAAATTGTAGGCTATGTCAGGCCTGATGGTACTGAAAAGATGAGCTCTAAGGTGATCTATTAAAAGACCAGAGTATAAGTTAGTACTTATTTGAATTTCATATGAATTACATGCTAAAGAGTCAATGAAAACACCAAATCCTATTAATATAATGAGCAGAATATAACTACTCTGACCAATTCTATTAAAGATGCAAACGAGGCTATTATTAGGAGTTAAAAAGGGTATTAACATTAGGCTTACAGGAAGTAAGAGCTGTGTATAGATTCCTGATTTACAGAAGCTAATACTTGTATTGGATTACTATATGGAGCCTGCAAGTCCTTAGCAAGATTTCATGATATTATATTCCTCAGGTATTATGTGAAACCAAGGAAGCCTAATTTATAAAAGTATAAATATCATTACAATCTGTCTTACTAGAAGCAGCTGATAAGATATATAATAGAAAACAATTGATTAGATCTGGAAGGTGGAATAGAAGATTCTGTTAAGAATGCATGGAGTTAATAGGCTTTGTTAGTAAGGGGTACTGTAACGATCCCTCCTTGGATGGTTAGTTCTTGGCAATGGGGAACGATACTTCTCTTCTCTTTCCTCTCCTTTCTTTGTCTTACGATAGCACTAGGCTTCTGCCTATGTTACCGATAGTACAAGACCTCTGTCTTCTATTGGGAACGCCTATCGTAAGCTTTCTCAAACTCTTCTTCGTGAAGAGCTTTCCTTGGCATAATGATAACGTTGCAATAAAGATAAAGATCATAAAGGTGTTTTATATTCGTTAAAGTAATAAGTAGGAAAAGTACTTAGAACAAAGCATAAAGAACCTATCCTCCTCGGCTGCATCAGCTTCCTTATATAGTATTCTTCCCGCCCATAATCATGTGACCCAAAGTGGTCACATGTGCAAAACAAAATCATAATAAACTAGTCATGTGACCAAAGTGGTCACATGCTTAAAACACATGACCTCATAGCGAGGTCATGTGTAAAAACTCATAAACCAATCATAACACAATAAACAAGTCATATGACTTGACTGAGTCATATGCGTAAAACCCATGACCTTATAACGAGGTCATGTGCAAAACATAAATCATATGCACAAGGCTTACCTGCAAGGCACACTCACAAGGTATACTCGCCAGGCGCATGTCCCATGACTCATATTTGAGCCATGAGCGAAAGCATCACAAATCCCACACATAACAAATCATATGACTCGAATGAGTCATATGTGTGAAACAATAACATACCTGTGACTCATATCCATGTGTCACATGAAACCTTTTTCATGCCAAGCCACATTCATGATATTAGCTCCCCTCCTCCTAAGCCTGAGTCCCATCAGGCTTTTGCTCTCAGTTTCAATAGTTCCCGTCCTGCTGAGCACATGGTCCTTCTCAGCTTGTGGAACTTTTTGTCTGCCATCCTCCATCTGACCCTTACCGATTCTAGGGTCAGATTCCCCATCTCGATCGTGTGCCGCTGATTATTGTTCAGCTGTCTTAGCTCCGCGATCGTTTTGTTGTTTGCCGAAATTGTAGCCTCGGCTTGGCCAAGTTGTTCTCAGAGTCCTCGGATTTGCCTGTGTAGGCTCCTGACGTCTGGTTCCATGTCTGCTGAGGAGTTGTGGGCCCCTCCCTTCCTGGACCACATCCTTGCAGCCCATGCCTTCCTGGCATCTTCTCCCTCCAACTCTTTTCTGTTTCAATCCTTCTGCGGGTAGTATTCTGCAGATATTTTCTGTGCCCTGTGCATCCTCCACCCATTTCTGAAGCATTGTTGCCAATTCTTCAGGACGTGGTCCGGGAGTGGACTACACTTTCGACATTTCCTCGGGAACCATTCTGAGCCTTCTTTGTCACCAAAATGTCTTTGGCAACTGTCATCATAGCATACCATCCATGACATGGCGTTATGCTGTGCTTGTTTTTCCCTCTTTCTGAGTTCTTTGTCGGTTGGCTCCACGAATAAGTATTCGGAGCTGGTTGGTGTGATTTGGCGGGGACTATTGCCGCAGCCCTCTTGTTGTTGCAATGGTGTGGGAGCCTTTTCCTCGCCTTTGTCTTGGTTGAACATGATCGTTACCTGGGCTGGACTTGCCTGGGTATTGCTTGTGGATGGTAGAGATGGCATCTTGTGCATGTTCAAAGTTGTATGCGAAATACCAGGTTTTATCGTATTTGGGTAAATATCCTGTCCACTTGACTCGATATTTGAGGTAACAGTGGAAGAAACGAGAATCGACTATATATCGTCGAGCTCATATTCTGGTTTTCCCTCGAGTTCGATCGGAGGAGGAGGAATAAGTGTTTGTGAGGGAAACTTGTTGTCGTTGTGTAATTCGTGGAGTGAGATGTGGAATGTGTTGTGTATTGGCATTGAGGGTGGAAGGTCGAGTTTATAAGCTCGGCTGCTGACTCTTTCTAGTATCCTGAATGGTCCTATTTTCTTGTAGTACAATTTCTTCGATGGTTGTGTCATATGGATATTGTGTGGTATTAGCCATACCATATCTCCCAGTTGTATGTTCGGATCCGGTCTTTGGTGCTTATTGTAGTGTTCTTTTTGTCGTTGATATGCTTGACACATTTCATATTGTAAGGTCTCATGTTGTTTTCCCATATTTGTTTTATCCGGTATTATACCATTAATCGTATGATATGTGGTCTGACTTTGTGGATGTTGTCCGTAATTTGTGAAGAAGGGTGTTGTGCCGATCATTTCTTGCTTTCCATTATTGTATGCGAATTGGGCCATTGATAACAGTTTGTACCAATCATCTTGTTGATAATTGACGTAGGCCGCTTAGTATTGTTAGAGTATTACATTTACCCGTTCCGTTTGTCCATTCGTTTACGGGTGGAACGATGTGCTCATTCTGTTTTGTATCTCCATTTCTCCAGTTACCTTCTTCCATAGTCCCGATGTGAATAGTGTTCCTTGATCGGTAATGATATTCTTTGGGAGGCCTTGAAGTTGGAAGACTTCTCAGCAGAATGTCTGTATAAAATTCCTCGTGTTGATATCTTTTCTGACTGGAATGAAATGACTCATTTTGGTCAGATGATCCACCCCGACCAGGATGATATTGCAATTTTCCGATGCCAGTAGGTCCATGATGAAATCCATAGTAATTGTTTCCCATGGTCGTTCAGGAACTTCGTTCGATTTCAGTAATCCATATGGTGCATGTTTAGTCGTTTTCGTCCTTGGGCTTATGTCGCAGGTTTTGACATATCGTTTGACATCTTCACATAGTCCTGGCCAATAGAATGACCTCGTGATGAATTCCATGGTTTTAGCCGTTCCTCCGTGTCCTGCTGTTTGGATATTGTAGTGTTGTCGTATGATGTCTGTCCTTATCTCCTCTTCTTTCGAGATCCATTGTTTTCCATCGTACCATATATTTCCATCCTTCAATTGGCATAACCCCAGTGCAATTCCTTTCCTCTCCTTTTTTCCTCCTTCTAAGGCTTCTCTTATTGCCTGGATTGTTTTGTCTTTCTTGTTTGCCTTCTCAATCTCCCTTTTCTCAGTTAATGTGAATTGGATAATCTCCATTGCCTCGAAGTAGGTTTTTGGTAATAGCGTTCATGTTTTCTGTTTGATTCTTTAGTCTTCTTGTGTTAGTGGTTTGTCGCTTGCAATCCTTGTAAGAGCATCTGGCTTTTCCTCTGTCTTTGCTTGGTCGATATTCGATTTTGAAGTTGTATTTGCTAAGATGTTCCATCCACCTTATCTGGCAGTTGTTCAGTTCTTTCGTAGTGATGAATGGGACCAGATTCTTATAGTCGGTTAGAACTCGGACTGGATGGTCATTGTTCAAAACGTATCTCCTCCATTCCTTTAATGCTTGAACTATCGCTAATAGTTCTTTGTTCGCAATGTCGTAGTTGCACTCCGCGGGGGTCATTGTCTTGGATCGGTAAGATACAGGCCGCCATTTTCCATCATCACATTGTTGCGATAGTATGCCTGAGCACACATATTTTGAGGCGTCCTTTTCGATCATTGTCCTTCGGTTTGGTTCAAAATGAACCAGTATGGGCGCCGATGTTAGATGCGTGCGTATTGCATCATATGCTTTCAGTTCTGTTTCTTCCCATTCCCATTTCTTGTCTTTCTTTGTAAGGTTATAGAGTGGTTTTGCAAGCCTGCTGAATTCCTCTATGAACCTTTGATAAAAGTTGCAGAATCCCATAAAGCATTGAACATCTGTTTTGTTGTTCGGTTTGGCTCAATCCCATATGGCTGCTGTTATGACAGGGTCGACCTTAACCCCGCTTTGATTGATGATAAATCAGAGGTATTCCGTTTCTTCTTTATGGAATTCGCATTTTGTTAGTTTAATCTTCATTCCTGATCCTTGTATTGCGGCCATGATATTGCTGATATCCTTCTGGTGTTGTTGCATGTTTTCCGAGTAGATGAGTAAGTCGTCCAAGTATACGATGCAACATATGTTGAGGTACTTATTAAGTACCTTGTTGATCCATTCCTGGAATGAAGCCGGTACATTGGTTAGCCCGAAGGGCATAACCAA